ACCTGCGAGATACGTGCGCGATATGTTACTCAACTACAAAACAATCTGAATATAGAAATGTATATTTATTTACCTTATTTCACAAACATTCTGGTCACGCAGAAACGCAAGTCTTAGCATTCGTAACTTGTCTTCCGTCAGAACCGTATTGGGCAATGCAAGTAAATAGGTTAAAAATTCTATTATAACGAGATTATTAGACTGTCCCAATTTTCTAATCGTATCAAAAGACGCTGTTGTTTCTTGTAAGATCCACTGGTCTGCTTGATCTTGCCAATAAGTTTTCCTTATGGTCATGGAATCGGACTGAGAAGCTGGGACACCTGTTCTATATAACCATCCATCCCAATCTACAGAATTTGACAGCTAGCCACAAGATAAAAGTTGTTATTCGCTGCTTAATAAACTTAATAAACTAAAAAACTAAGAACTAATTTATTTGCATAAAAATCATGTTACCTCATCTTTTGCTATAAGGAAAAAATATACATTCAGAAGAATCTTAAAACGATCAGTCGTTAGGATTGCACGGTTTTCATCGTGTTCAGTTTTCTCATAAAATGGCAATAAAATATGTACAAGAAAACATGTGAAATCTTTGGGGCCACCTAACTTATTTTCTAAGTAATTCAAAAATATACACCCTTTTTCCGACACGTACTTGATAATATTTATAGGCAGAAATTCTTTCGTAAAAATAGGTACTAAAGAGTGCGAATATAACTCCGGCTGTAATAATAATTCAGTTTCAGAAAATAGTGTAGTAAGTATATGTAGTAGAAATGCATATGAAGTGGAAAGCACACGTATGAAGTGGAAAATATTATCAATCAATATATTTAATACATATTTCTTTCTATAATTTTATCCAAGCAAAACTAATACTTTACCATACTTAGCAGATTGTTAATGCCTTTTATTTTTAGATCGTTGCGAAATTTCCTTTCGTTGTCGATTATTTCATCATTTATAGGATTTCTATAAATGAATGTACTAAGGCCTTTAATCAACCACAAGTCTTTAAAATTGTCAATCGCAACTGTCCTTCCTATCCAGCTTTCAATGATGTTTTGAACAATTGTATCGATTATAGAATACTGATCTCCTTCAAGTAAACTTGATGACACAAATGTCATATAAGGATATTGCATATCGAATTCCGGCACATTTGGTGGAAGCACACATACATTAACAAATTCACCTACATATATTATTTTATAAATATATTAAAAATAAAATAATAATAAAAGGAACAAGACTGACAATTCCTTATAAAATAAAATGCATATAAACATATTGTAGAACACATATAAACTGAAACGACAAATTAAGTTGAAATATTACCCAAGAAACCATACGACTCTTTGATTTTATACACGATGTCCACAATTTTATCAAGAAATGGTATACACCGCTCACAAGATTTCTCTTTAGCATGCCAAATTTCTAGATACATAGGTCTAGGTACTTCTTCGCGACTTCCGTGCAAACTTCTTAGGCAACCTACTATAATATGTATCGCATACGGTGGTATACGGCCTTTATGGGGTTGAGTCGTGTCATATAGCGTGCCAAAAGAAAAACTGTATTTATCTTGGTTATTTTTTACAGCTCCACCCTTTCTCTTAACCTTTTCTCTTAACCCAGGCATCATAACGTTAAAATTTTTTGGTACAGTAATCTAAAAAATATAAAGTAAACATCAATAAAAGTTGAATAAGAAAACCATTCTTTAAATAGTTAAAGCAGTAAATATAAAAAGTATGAAAATAAAATTGCAATTATATATGCTCACATTTATCTCTTTAACGTATGTTATACTTTTCACTTTGACGTCTTATTATTTTTATTAATAATATCAATGTCAATCAAGCAGACATTACTGTTCTTACAAATCGCGTAAAAGAATCACGGTCGGTCTCGCTCCGCCCGAGACACTACCGTGTCTCTTGATAAATACGAAATGCATACAGTGTTTAAATTCTTACCTCAAAATAGAATGTGATTCTATTTGATGGTGTATCTTGACAGGGAAATATAGCTCTAGCATATGTAAGCTGAAAATATTGATTTGTGAGTACAATACACGTTGATATAGGAGAACTAAATCATTTTTTTATAATTCACCTTGGTGTTAGATATCAAGAGGGGATTTATACCATCGGAAGTTTGATAACGTTTTAGCCAATGCAGTGCAGGAGATTCTGGATGTGTTTCGTATTTAATCTTAATTTGAAATCTGAAAATACGATATCGTCATGTATATATCATATATCGTCATACATCGTCATATATACTTGTATCAATAATTTCTAAAATCTATGTATTTGTCAAACATATTCTATACTTACATATTACTATTACTAAGTTTCTTCCTTTTGCCTCTTGATGTACCGACTGCACTAGCCACGCTTGGTAGAGTAATGGTGAACTGACTGCCGAAGTTTTTATCATGATTACCAATAGTTTTCCTTAGAATTTCTCCAGTAGAATAGTCTGTCACGTCACCTATTTTAAGTTTGTAGTTATCTAAAACCTAATTATATATATACTTGATATTAATGACAAACTGAAAAAAAAATATATATATACATATATATATATATATATATATATATATATATATATATATATATATACGTATACTAAAATTTAAAAAAAATGTTTACTAACTAGTTCGTTACAATCGTTACACGTCGACGGTTTCTTCAGTATTGACAATATTGCCCTGCCTTCAAGAACATGACGTTCGAAATTCACGGTTAATTTTAAGCGAGTGTGAGTCACAGCAACGAGGTCTAATAAATAACAATTTATAGAAATTAAAATTTATTCAAATACTTAACGAGGCAATATATAAATAATAATTATAAGTACGTGTCGAGAAATATAATACATTACAATTAAATATAATTTTAAAACCCTATAGGATATAGTTCTTAGTAGGGAAATTTCAATAGCGTTATGAAATGTTTGACATATTTTTTGTATTTAAAGAAACAATGACCTTGCTACAGTGAAACAATGGCATAATTTACAAAATTGTGCGGATTATATTTAAAAACTTGGAGATACGAACGACAGCGTCGCCTTTCAATACTGATAAATTTGTAATTACCCGATATCAATGTTTTATTTTCTTTAGAAAACATAACGAAAATAAAGATTTAATATTTAATATTATACTTATATAAAAAATTACGTAGTTAATATACCTGGTCTCGAATAAGAATACGGAATATCATCTCTTGCAGGTAGCTGATCCATTTTAAAATTTGTGTGAACCTTTCCAAATGCGTACCGACAATAGA